CTGGGAACCCTTCTGGGCGGCGGAAACGGAGGTTGGCTGCGTACCGACTGCATTAAGAAACCACACTGAAACCCAGAGGAGAGCGGTCTCTGCCTGGGCGGCGGAGACCAGTTACCGGCCTCAGGTGTGCCGCCCTCTGAGGTGCTGGAGGGCGCCCACACGTGCCAACGACCCCTAACCATCTTCGGTGACTGCCCCCCTGGAAATCGGGCAGGGAGCGGACCAGGGGGCCCCAGGCCTGCAGAGGTGCCCGGAGGTAGGGGAGACAGCTCGCAGGGTGGGACCCGGCCGATTCCCCGGAGACCCCAGGTCGGCGGGCAAGAGCCGCGCCGCCGTCGCGCCCCCAGGTGGCCGTGGGCGGTAGATACACGTTCAAGGAGGATCAAATGCACACACACCACAGGACTGAACACTAATGTTTAACCTCGAGAAACTCTCCTTCCCTTCCGAATGCTGTGTCCGACGCAGCCACTGTTGCGAGTCGCTCGGGCACGGTGAGCCCAGATGCAGAGGGAGGCCGGGGCTTAGCAGGAACCCGAGAGGCGCCGCTAGACTGATATTGAGCATGCGCATGTCCACGAAGGCGGGGCTTGTCGCGTAGGCAGCCACGTCATTAGCCTGATATAGTCTCAACAGAACGCGCAGGGAGCGGGAGGTAGCGTGGCCGAGTGGTCTAAGGCGCTGGATTTAGGCTCCAGTCATTTCGATGGCGTGGGTTCGAATCCCACCGCTGCCATACCGTTGTTGGTCTCACTTTTCCATCTTTAAAGCCACAACCTTTTTGTGTCGTTCTCAAATTCCTCTCTTCTCCCTTTTCTATTTCCTGACGCTCATTTTTTCTTTTAATGGAATTGGTGACAGGGAGAGGAGAACTAAGAAACTGCAGCACAGGCCCTCTCGCGCCCTAGCCTAGCACACAAACCCACCAATCCTGCTACCTAAAACACAAAAAGGAAAGCGTTTCTGTATTCCCAGGATAAACGATCTAAGATACTTTGAAAAGTTCCCAACAGTCATTTAATGGTTCGATGTCTGAGGCCACAGGGAGTGGGTCTCTTCACCCAACAAGTACAAAGGTTATGTGGGGGGATTTAATCATGACCTGAGCTAAAAAGGGTTCCTTCTGGCTGGCTCTGTGTACTTTGGAGAGCACCCGCTGACTCCAGAAACCTCTGCTGGCAGAAACGTGTCAGGCGTCCCTGGGGAGGGGCTCTGGTATCAGGGGGGACTGCCCCACTTGGGGATTATCAACCTTGATGTCCCAGCTTCATAGGTCTACCTCCTACTTGGTCTTCAGTCTTGGTTTAGGGGCACCCCGGTTATTTAGTCATTCAACAACTACTTATGCAGGACCTACTGTGGGCCAGAAACCACGCTCCTCATAAGGCTACAGAACAAACAAGGCAGGCATGTGTTTGCACCCACGGAGTTTACAGACATTGTAATTTCATCAGTTACACCTCTGAGGAGTGAGTGTTAGCAGTGCAGCAAGCTAACCTGACCCAGGGCCAACAGAAGCAACATTTAGTTGGGACTTGAAATTCTGTGAAGGCAATTCAGGGCGCTGGACGGAGAGCAAACAGTGGAGCAATGGCAAAAGATGGGGCTGAAGTGTTAGGCAAGGAGGCCATCCTGCCAAGGTAAGGTTTGAACTCGAGCCTGCACTCATTGAAAGGTTTTAAGCCAGAGGGCGGCACGTCCCAGTTTTGGATTCAAAAAGCTCCCTCTGGCAGCCAGAACAGGAGGCTGCCTTCGGAGCCTACAGCCGTTGTCTAGGAGAACAGACAGCAGCTTGTACCGGGATGTGGCGGTGTGGCGGCCAGAGGGGTGGGGCAGAGAGACATTTTGAATGTGGATCTGACAAAATCACTGATGAAACAAGAAGAGGAATATGTTAAAAGTAATTCCAAGCTTCCCGCCCCAGCCAGGTGGTTCAGTTGGTTGGAGCGTCATCCCCTACACCAAAAAGTGATACCAGGTTTGGGGGTTGGGCCCCTGGCTGGCTGGCTGGCTGGCGGTGTCTATTCTCTCTGTAGGAGGAAACGTAGGATGAAGAGGAGGTTTGCAAGATAGACGATTTCAGTTTGATTCCCACTGAATTTGAGTCAATCTCCTGTGGGACATGGAGTTGGACATAGAAGTCTGGAGGTCTAGAGAACATTCTATGCAAAAAATACAGATTGAGAAGACATTGGGGACAGAGGCCACGGGAATAGATGAGCTGCCCAAGAAGAGTGCATGCAGGGAGCAGAGTCCTGAGGAAGATCTTAAAGGGAGGACAATGGAAGGGAAGCCAGTGAAGGAGGCGGAGGACACACAGGTGGGGAACATGTGTTATGTCATATGGACCCAGAAGACTATTCAAGGAGGAGGGAGTAGCCCACTGTGTTGAATTCTGCTAAGAGGCTTGGCAAGATATAGACGGAAAAGTATCCATTGGATTTATGATTTATGGACAAGGTCATTGATGACCTTGATTAAAACCATAGTTTTAAAAAATATTTTTATTGATTTCAGAGAGGAAGGGAGAGAGAGAAAAAAAGCAATGATGAGACATTATAATTGATCGGCTGCCTCCTGTACACCCCAAACTGGGGATTGAGCCCAAAATCCAGGCATGTGCATTGACAGGGAATCAAACCGTGACCTCCTGGTTCATAGGTAGAGGCTCAACCACTGAGTCATGCCAGCTGGGCTTAAAACTATTTTGGAATGGACTTAAGAGAAGAAATGAAAACATTAAGTGTGGAAAATTGATCACAAAATTTGATTTTGAGGAGGGAAGAGTGATTTTGGGAGGGGAGACTGGAAAATGTTTTAGATTGCTGACACTGGGTCTACAACAGGGAAGAGCATCAGTACACGCAATGATTGGCTGTGTCAACTTGGGTTGTCCCTGGTGACAACTCTGTTTTCTGTATTCATGACGCTTCTGCTCAGTGTCTACAATTAAGCTCGGATCTCCTACTTGCCCACTTAGAACCTTGTGGAAGGCTAGTGATCTAGGCAGCCTCTAAAATGCTCATGGGGCCCTCGCTGGTTTGGTTCAGTGGATACAGCATCGGCCTGTGGACTGAAGGGTCCTGGTTTCGATTCTGGTCAAGGGCACATGCCTGGGTTGTGGGCACAATCCCCAGTGGGGGGCGTGCAGGAGGCAGCTGATCCATGATTCTCTTTCTTGGTTGATGTTTCTAACTCTCTCTTCCTTTCTGAAATCAATAAAAATATATTGAAATAAAATAAAATGCTCCTGGGAACTCATTTGTTGGGCGGAGGCATCACCCCCTGCCCTCCCGGGAAAGGACGCTTGAGAGGAAGGAAGCTGTCTTGGCAGTGACCACGCTGCTCCCTGGCTGGGCTTTAGACATTCTGCTTCCACAGCATCAGGGAAGCGGGGACCTAAAGAATCCAAACACTCCAACACACTGATTTTGCTTGTGGCCTCAAGAGCTGATGCTTGCTAGTAGACAAAAGATGTAGAAGGTTATGTGAGCAGGAGAAGCCTGCTCCCTGCCTTAGGAACAGCTTTCTCAGGACTGGTAGAGAAAGCAGGTCAGAGCAGGTGAGTTTAGATGCAAGTGTGTTACTGAGAAGGGAGCCCAAGGACTTTCAGCCCCAATGGGAACCGAAAATGAGGTAGACCCCAGAGCTCCACCCAGGCCTTGGCATGGCTGCAGGGGAGCGGAAATAACCATGTATTGTGTTTAGGCCGGTGGGCCCGGGACGCTCCTCCACATTATCCCGCTGCAGAGCGGGGGTCCCCACTCCCTCGCTGAAGTTACACACAACCCCGGTTTCCTCATCTGGAAATGGGAATAGGCCCCACGAAATAAAGAAAAGCATGTAGATGGAAGCCCTTTCAAATTGCCAAGCATTTAACAGACATAAAGGGTTATTATTGAGCTTTTTAACATTATATACACACATACAGGTCAGCCTAGCGAAGAGGAGCACACATGGTTTAGCTCCTTCACAAACCTTCATTGCTCAGCAGAGGGGCACCCAGCCACGGACGCCGGCCATCCGCTCTGATGAACTAGCACCTTCCCTCCCCTCCCCCACAGTTTTTATAGGTTTGTGCTGGTTTTCATCTTTTCCAGGGTCCATAGTTTGCTCGGCCAGTTTCACGGGTGCGTTTTGCGATATCCATGGAGTCTTTACACACTGCTCCTGGCGTCCATGCCAGCACATGTAGAGGCGCCGCTTCTGTGGGGAGCAAGGCCGATGAAGACATCTTGTGGGTTTAAATATCAAAGATTATGGTGGCCACCACTGCCCTCTCCTTTACAAATAGAAGCACTACTAAATTATAAGATAGGACCACGTTCTAATTTTTCCTATTATAACCATATTGGTACTTTTCCCAGACGTTTAACTATTTAACAAGTTTCTGTTTTGTTTTGAATGTCGCCGCTAGTACTGTGTTTACTATGCTGAGTCACCCCCGGACGCGTAAACCGGAACCCAAACGGCCAGGTCGGGCTGGGCAGGCGCGTGGGTATCAACACACGGGGCGGGGGCCTGCGGGAGTGAGCGAGCCCAGGCGGAGTGAGCGA